GCGTCTCCCCCACCCAGCACGGCGCTTCGTGGCCCCATAGGGAGGTCTACCCAAGGCCCCAATGGCGGTGCCCACATGCGTCCCCCCCACCCAGCACGGCGCTTCGTGGCCCCATAGGGATGTCCACCCAAGGCCCCTGTGGTGGTGTCTGCATGCGTCTCCCCCACCCAGCACGGCGCTTCGTGGCCCCATAGGGAGGTCCACCCAAGGCCCTAGTGGCGGTGTCAACATGCGTCTCCTCCACCCAGCACGGCGCTCCGTGGCCCCATAGGGAGGTCCACCCAAGGCCCCAGTGGAAGTGTCCACGTGCGTCTCCCCCACCCAGCGCGGCGTTTCGTGGCCCCATAGGGATGTCTACCCAAGGCCCCAGTGGCGGTGCCCACATGCGCCCCCCCCACCCAGCACAGCGCTTCGTGGCCCCATAGGGAGGTCCACCCAAGGCCCCCGTGGCGGTGTCCACATGCGTCTCCCCCACCCACACGGCGTCACGTGGCCCCACAGGGAGGTCCACCCAAAGCCCCAGTGGCGGTGTCAACATGCGTCTCCCCCACCCATCACGGCGTTTCGTGGCCCCATATGGAGGTCCACCCAAGCCCCCAGTGGCGGTGTCCACCGTCTCCCCCGCCCAGCACGGCGTTTCCGGCCCCACACGGAGGTGACCCCAGCGTCGGTGTCCACATGCGTCTCCCCCATCCTCCACGGCGCTTCGTGGCTCCATAGGGACGTCCACCCAAAGCCCCAATAGCGGTGTCCACGTGCGTCTCCCCCCACCCAGCACGGCGTTTGGTGGCCCCATAAGGAGGTCCACCCAAGGCCCCAGCGGCGGTGTCCACATGCGTCTCCCCACCCAGCACGGCGTTTCGTGGCCCCATAGGGAGGTCCACCCAAGGCCCCAATCGCGGTGTCCACGTGCGTCTCCCCCGCCCAGCACGGCGCTTCGTGGCCCCATAGGGATGTCCACCCAAGGCCCCAGCGGCGGTGTCCACATGCGTTCCCTTAACCCAACACGGCGTTTCGTGGCCCCATAGGGAGGTCCACCCAAGGCCCCAATCGCGGTGTCCACGTGCGTCTCCCCCACCCAGCACGGCGTTTGGTGGCCCCATAGGGAGGTCCACACAGGGCCCCAGCGGCGGTGTCCACATGCGTCTCCTCACCCAGCACGGCGTTTCGTGGCCCCATAGGGAGGTCCACCCAAGGCCCCAATCGCGGTGTCCACGTGCGTCTCCCCCGCCCAGCACGGCGCTTCGTGGCCCCATAGGGATGTCCACCCAAGGCCCCAGTGGCGGTGTCCACACGCGTTTCCTTAACCCAGCACGCCGTTTCGTGGCCCCATACGGAGGTCCACCCACGGCCCCAATGGCGGCGTCCACATGCGTCTCTCCCACCCAGCACGGCGTCACGTGGCCCAATAGGGAGGCCCACCCAAGGCCCCAGCGGCGGTGTCCACATGCGTCTCCCCCACCCATCACTGCGTTTCGTGGCCCCGTAAGGAGGTCCACCCTCCCCCACCCAGCACGGCGCTTCGTGGCCCCATAAGGAGCTCCACCGAATGCCCCAGTTGCTGCACTCGCATGCGTTTTCCCCGCCCAGCTCCCTGGTGGACCCGTTCACGGGCGTTTCCTCCGCCAAGCACAGCGCTCCGTGGTTCCATAGGGAACTCCGCTGGAGGCCTCAATCGCACCATCCACATGCGTCTCCCCCTCCCAGTGCAGCGCTTCGTGGTCCAATAGGGAACTCCACTGAAGGCCCCCGTAGCAAAATCTTCATGCGTTTCGCCTTCCGTGCAACGCTTCGTGGCCACATTGGGTGCTCCACCGAAAGCCACAGTGGAACCGTCCACATGCGTTTCCTCCATCCAATACAGCCTTTCGTAGCCGCATATAGAGCTCCACCGAAGGCCCCAATGAACCCGTTCACATGCCCGCAGCGTTTCGTGGTCCACAGGGAGCTCCACCGAAGATGATACCCACAGCAGCGGTACTGACAACTGCATATGGTTGGGTCTTTCCCTGGGCTAACTTTAGTTTTATCTACGCCAGTCGGTCCGACATCTGCTTGTGAGCCTTTTACCACGTGTCGGCATGAAGGCGATACGAAGTAAAACATCCAGCCCATACTTTGTCGTCGGTATCCTCTCCTGGCAAAATAATGCGATAGCCATTCGCGTCAAGGATATCTGCCTTCGCTCGGCGCGTCTCTTGCACTGACAAGATGTCGACGCCATATTTTCCCATATGTATGGTACTCTCTTCGATTTTTGAGTCTGTGAGGCCTCGCACATTCCAAGTCGCCACTTCGAGCGGAGTCGAAGCCGGGGCGGGAGAAGCAGCATCAGGACAGGAGGAGGGCGTGGGAGGGGAGGATCTTGAGGGTCCGCTCGTGGGCCACGAAGTGAATGAAGATGTGGGCCTAGATCGTCTCCGAGTTCATGGTGTTCACCGTGAGGCTGGAGCCACTCACAAGAAGAGGTATGAGAGCATGTGCTCGGCATGGTCTCTCTGCCCACGGTCGTTGCATGCGCTCCGTGATGGCTTAGTTGTTCACCTGCTCGGCGTGCATTAGAATGCCCAAGAGGAAAATAGAGTGCACCATTATACGAATGCGCATCTTCTGTGGTATCTTTGCTCAGCTCAAGTGCTCATGGTGGGGATGAGGGGAGAGCGTCGCGATGTAGGAGGAGACCACCTGCTTGAAGTGCAAAACTTCCGGCTCCGGCATTGGTTGGAAGAACTGTACTCGTACTGGTAGTGACTGCCAGTGCCTGCCGCGAATCCTACTTCGACCCTTTTGCGCTTCCTTTCGCCCCCCCTTCCGGTTCGCCGCCGTGCGATTCACGATCCCGTCGCAGGCCGCAATGAGCTCATGGAGCTTCGCATGGTTTTGTAGATCTTGCCTATCTTACCATTCTTTAGACCATATCCTAGTGACCCTGTCCTCGTCGATCTTCACGGACAAAAACAATTCCCTCCAACTGTAACCGTGCACGGGTAAGAATCTTCGTCCACGCGTATGAATAATGAATGGCCATTGTGTTCTTCAACATGTACTTGAGACCGAAACACATGTTGTGTGCGGCTCTCACCAGAGGCGGCAGGTCGGGGGTAGCCCATATGGTTTTACCATTTCTGTCAATGGCAGCGCTCCTAAATTTATTGACAGCCTTGTCTTTGACGTCAGCGGAGTCAGGGTCGAAAAACCAACGAGATTTGCCACATTCGGCAGCACCCCTCACGCAGATCAGCGGGGCCAGGGTCGAAAAACCAATGGGATTTGCCACATTTCTGAAATTCGGCGGCACCCCTCACGCAGATCGGCGGAGTCAGGGTCAAAAAACCAACGAGATTTGCCACATTTCTGAAATTCGGCGGCACCCCTCAAGCAGATCGGCGGGGCCAGGGTCGAAAAACCAATGGGATTTGCCACATTCCTGAAATTCGGCGGCACCCCTCACGCAGATCGGCGGAGTCAGGGTCGAAAAACCCTATGGGATATGCCACATTTCTGAAATTCGGCGGCACCCCTCAAGCAGATCGGCGGGGCCAGGGTCGAAAAACCAATGGGATTTGCCACATTCCTGAAATTCGGCGGCACCCCTCACGCAGATCGGCGGAGTCAGGGTCGAAAAACCCTATGGGATATGCCACATTTCTGAAATTCGGCGGCACCCCTCAAGCAGATCGGCGGGGCCAGGGTCGAAAAACCAATGGGATTTGCCACATTCCTGAAATTCGGCGGCACCCCTCACGCAGATCGGCGGAGTCAGGGTCGAAAAACCAATGGGATTTGCCACATTTCTGAAATTCGGCGGCACCCCTCAAGCAGATCGGCGGGGTCAGGGTGGGAAAACTCATGGAATATGCAACATTTCTGAAATTCGGCGGCACCCCTCACGCAGATCGGCGGGGTCAGGGTCGAAAAACCAATGAGATTTGCCACATGTCTAAAATTCGGCGGCACCCCTCACGCAGATCAGTAGGGTCAGGGTCGAAAAACCTATGGGATTTGCCACCTGCCCAGAATTCTGTGGGAAACCTACGTGCGCAGCATACGGAGCCAGGTTCAACATGCAACACTGAGTTAAACGATATTATCATAATCTCAATTTCTCTTGCCGATGCTGCTTCACGGCGGCGCCGAGGCCTCATGATTTAGCTCTTGTATAGCCCATTATCCGAGAGAGGGGGCCGGCGGCAGGGGGCGAAGCCCTTACGGATAACAATACTCCCTATGAGAGGCAGTAGCGAGGGGCCAGTGCCAGTGTCATTACTCCCTGCGGGAGGTCATACGATACCAATACTGCCGACTACATCGCACTACATTGCAATACGATTCAATACTGCACCTGCGGTGAACAAAATGCAAGACACCCTCGCTCCCTGCGGGAACGAATTCGGTCCGCCCGACCCGGCCCGGAGCCTTGCCTACCCGTGAGCCGCGGGCCGGGTGGAGCGTCGAGCCCGGGGGAGGCGGCGGCGACCCAGTGGCAATACCAATACACTCCCTGCGGGAGGCGGCGGGAGCTGACCTCCGGGCCAGGTCGGCCGTCGGGCCCAGGAGAGGCCCGGGAGACCCTCGGGGCCAGTGGGCAACACCCACACTCCCTGCGGGAGTCAATAACAACCCGCCGCAGAACGTTGGAGACGGGCGCTGGCCAACCTCTCGGGACGGGTGGAGCGTCCGGACCCGAGGACGGCGGACCCGCCCTGGCGCCCAGCCGTCGTGCCGACGAAGGGGCCGCCTGAAGGCCGACTACCGTTGTCTCAGCTCGCCCTCCTCTGATCCACCCGCGTGTGCGCCCGAGCCGCGCTTCGACGAGGATCTCGAGCCGAATCCAGCCGTGGCGGCGAGGGCTGACTCTCGCGCCGCCCGCCGGCGCGCTGGGCCCAAGCGCACCGGGCTTCCGATGTTGCATGCGGCCGTGCCGACGAGGGGGCAGCCCGAAGGCCAACTGCCGTTATCGCAGCTCGCCATCCAACGGCGCTTGCGCGCCACCGCCGAGCCTCGATCGCCTTGCCGAGCAGGGCGATGGCCTCTGTGTCGTCCTTGACCGACTGCCGGAACCTCTGCTCGGCCTCAACGCGCTCCGCCCGCAGTTCGCGGGCCTCCTCCGAGGGGGAGCGTCATGGTCGGGGACTGTTCCTCGGCGTGACGCCGCGGCGGCCCTGGCCACACGCTGTGCCCTGCAAGCGGATCGCGTGTCGCTCCGCTCCGCGGGGCGGGATGCTCGGGAAGGGGCGCGACGTGGACGCCTCAGGACCGGGAAGTGAATAGCGTGTCGCGCCGAGGCGCGGTGGGCAAGAACCGGAGGAACGGCACGCTGAGCCAAAGTTCCTGACCGTAGTGGGGGAGAGGCTCAGGGGGGCAAGCATCATCAAACGTCGGGCTTGAATCGGCGATACATCGCCGATAGATCGGCGATAGGAACCCGTTAGCGCAGCCGCACGCTCCTGCGCAGATCGGGATTGTCGGACCCCTGCCCCTGATCCTCGGAGGTCTGATTGATCTTCTCCTCCGCGGCCGCGATCTTGCCCTGCAGCTCCTCCTTCTCGTCGCTCGAGCGCTGCAGCTCGCTGTCGAGTTTGTCAATGTCTGAGGTCAGGTCCTCGGAGGTGATGGTGTTATCGTTCTCGGCGTTCTGGCACCTGCGAAGGGGCCCCGTGACACACAAATGAAGACATACAAATCACAGAGAGAGCGTGATCCACCGCCGCTTTATTGTGGAAAATTGCCGCATTTTTCCTCCGGAACCGGGGGGTCCCTCCCCCCCCTCCGAAAATCCCCCCCCCCTCCCTGCTGGAACCCCTCCCCCCCCCAACTCCCCCCGCAAACCCCCCCCCCCCTCCCCTAACCCCCCCCCCCCCCCCCCCCCTCCGAATTCGAACCCGGGGGTCACTAACGGTTCGAACCCCCCCCCCCTCGAAAACCGACCGGAAGGGGGTCACTACCGGTTCGAACCCCTCCCCACCCCCCTCTCACCTCCAGCAAACGACTCCCGGTCCCTACCACCGTCCTCACCACATCCCCCACTGTTGTTCCCAGCACCACTGTCCTCACCACCACTGTCCCCACTGGTTCCACCACCGCCCCTACTGTCCCCACCACTGTCGCACTGTCCCCACTGTCCCCACCACTGTTCCCACCACGGTTCCACTCTCCCAACTTTCTCCACTACTATCCCCACTGTCCCCACTGTCCCACTGACTCCTCCGCTGTCCCACTGAGCTGTCCCACTGTTCCCACCACTGTCCCCACTGTCCCCACCACTGTCCCCACTGTACCTCTGTCCCATTGTCCCACCGCCGTCCTCGCCACCGCCTTCACCACTGTCCCCACCACCACTGTACCCTCCACTGTCCTACTGTTTCCACCACATTCCCACTGTCCCCACACCACTGTCCCCACCACCACCGTCCCCACCACTGTCCCACTGTCCCCACTGTTCCCACCATTGTCCTCACCATGGTCCCCACCACTACCGTCCCCACCACTGTCCCACTGTCCCCACCACTGTCCGGCTGTCCCCTCGCCACTGTCCCCACCACCACCGTCCCCACCACTGTCCGGCCCCCCCCTGTTTTCGAGGGGGGGGGGGGAGGGGGGGGGTTCGAACCGGTAGTGACCCCTCCCGGACTTTCGAGAACGAGGGGGGGGGGGTTCGAACCGGTAGTGACCCCCCCCCTTTTCATGATGAACTGGGGGGGGGAGGGGTTCGAACCGGTAGTGACCCCCCCGGTTTTGCGGAGGGGGGGGGGAGGAGTTCGAACCGGTAGTGACCCCCCCCGGTTTTCCGCCAGCAGCGGTAGAACACGCTCTCTTTCAAATCACAGGATGCCCCTATATTGTCCCATACCTTTCCTGGGCTTCTGTCTTCCCCCACTTCCCATATTTCCCGATATGTTCCGATATGTTCTGAGGGATCGACGATGACTTGTGTCTGTGCTTTTTGCTTGCTCCCTCCGGAACCTGTCGCGGTGCTCCACGTCCTCCTGCTCCTCGGCGCGGAGCCTCGCGAGCATCTCGTCGATCGACGCGATCACGCCGTCGAAGTGGCCGGAGGTGGTCAGCGCAGCCGCCAACCTTGGAGGGGCCCTATAGGCACACAAATACACAGAAATAAAACGATTCCCCACATTTTCCTATATTTTCTGGGTTTTCGTCTTCCCCCCCACTTCCCATAGTTTCCCATATTTTCTGGGGAATCGCCGATTACTTGTGTCTGTGTTTTTTTCCCCTCCTGAAGCCTGGCGATCTTTACGCTCTGGAGCCGAGAAGCCAAAGACTGCAAGCGACGGTAAGCGGCGTCCTTGCCAGTGTCGCGCAGAACGCTGTCGTCTGCCTGATTCGCGGACCCGACCTGCAAGAAGCTGCTGGTCGCGTTCTCGAAAATTGCCTTGCTGTCGTCGCTGCCGAGTAGCTCGACGGCATTGTCGATGCCTTTCATCTCCTCGGTGCGCATCCTCACGCGTTCCGCCCACTCCCCGGCCTTCTCTTTGCAAGACGTCTTCGCCTGCGCAAAGAACTTCTCGTCCGCCTCCAGCTGCTCCTTCGTGTTGTCAAGCAACACCTTTGTATCCGCTAACTGCCTCGCCTTGTCGGCCTCGTATATGGTCTGCTGGTCCAAGGTGGCCTGCAGCGTCTTCATCTCAGCAATCTTCGTCTGCATCAATTCTTCGAACGCCTTCTGCTTATCCGCCTCCTCCACGTTGTTCCTCTCGAGGTCCCTGGCGAACGTGTCGTACATGGACTTCAAAACGCCAGACACACGGTCAGACTGCGGAGCATAGTCCCCGTACGGGTTCGGAGTCTGGCCCACCTGGATGGCGCTCAAGAACCCTCCGAGCTCATTTGGGTAGAACACGCCCGACCTAAGACTAACCGGCTTCACGACGCCGCCGTGAATGGCAGCCGGGAGTCCCGCACTCCTGGCGCCCACGAAGTCCTCCGGGCGGCCGACGAACTTCTCCACCAACTGCATGTCCTCAGGGCTGACGGACTTTGTCACGGCCGGGTTTCGCAGCAGCGACCTGACGCCCGCCACCACGCTGAGCAACTGGGCCTCCTGCATCGTGGCCAGCAGGTTGGCCTTCTTGACAGTGCCGGCGCCGTGCAGCACCTTGATCGCGGCCTCCAGCGCGCCCATGCACTGCTCGTTCTGGTTTTTATCCTCCTCGTAGTCTGCGCGCTCCTTGTCGCGCACCTCCGTGGCCTCCCGCTGGGACTCCACATTAGCCGCGATGTCCTTCTTCAGCTGCGCAATGTCGGCCGTGTGCGTAGCGATCTCGCCCTTGAGCTTAACGATCTCCGACTGCAAAGCGTCGATGGACCCCTTGGCCGTGGCGATGTCAGCCGCCTTCTTGCTGAGAGTGTCCTCGCACCAACACGCATACTTGTCGTACGACCCCTGCTCCAGCTCGCCGTCGTTGCGGATCTTCTCCCTGAGAGTGCCCATCAACTCCACGACCCTCTCGATGACATTGGGCTTCCCGCCGCCGAGCTCTCCCGCCTCTCGAGGAACATTGACAGAAGACATAAACGCAAACGTTCAGAGCTCAGCGCTCATTCCGGGGGGGGGGTCCAACGCCGATCCGAGAACTCCGCGCGGACCCGCAGACATGCTGTGCCGCTTGGCTGGTTCCCCCCCGAGCCTCCGCGAGCGTGCAGGGCAACGAACTGACGCACAGCCAAACGAGCCGCTTCATTGCCGCCGTCATCGGCGTGGCGGGCGCGGCGGGCCGCGCGGCCGAGCACCCTGCCGAGCCAGGTGGCGACGGGCGCGGGCGGCACAGCATGGGAAGGCCACGCCCCAGGCGGTGGCGCGGCACCCAGACCTCCGGCGACTCGAGATGGTGGTTCCCCTGCGGGTTTCAGGCGCTGCTTCCTGCTCCTTCGGGGCCCCAGGGGGCCCCTTCTGGGCCCATGGCCCTCAATCCTCGATGCCGTCTCCCATGTATTCGGGGTCAAGGGCTCAAGGGATTGGCGACTCAATAATGTCGAGTTGTCGCAAGTCCAGGAGGTCGGGACCGTGGAAAGACGCCCTTATCAAGAACGTAGAGCATCTGCAACAAAAATCTTGCTGATCTCCGCAGCGACGGGGATGAAACAGACGACTCCAGAGGTCTGGTGAAATTCTGGGTGGGCGGCCCTGGATCATCTGGGCAATGCACTGGTTGGTTTCGATGGACCGCCCTTCCCGCCACCCTCCGAATGCCACTCGGAGTGGCACTCTCGCCGTTGGCCTGCCGCATCCCTGCACCTTCTATACGCTGTGCGACTGTTCCTGTTCCATCTTGTCTCCCCCGATCGCGTTACCGCTAGTGCCCTCCGTCATCCCCGCGTGCTGCGCAGGGGCTCTGCAGACCGCTTTGTTTACGTATCACACTGTGTTGTTGATCGTGCCAAACTCCGCCGCGTCGCTGCGCGCGCGGCCGCGACGTTAAGAAGTACGTGCGCGGTGGTCTAAATTCTCGACGCCAACGATGCTCGCAAAGGCGAGCCTGGAGAACACGAGGGTTTAGGGTTTCTTCGAGACCCCCAAAAATTAAACCAAACTCGGCGCGTTCCCCAAAAATGCCGAGCACGGTTCTTCTCAGCCGTTCGGAACGGTACCCTCGCCTCAGCGCCTGCTGCTGTCCTGGCCATCTGCACGTCCTCGATAAAAAAAGCACCAGGCCACCGCTGCGGCTCTACCATTGATCGGCACCACCACCGCTCTGCAGGCATCCAGTAGAGTACCACCAGGCCCCTTCGAGTCCGCAGTATCGAGTGTAGCGTGTGATCCAAAAGATCCCCAGGCCCTGGGCGCTCCGGGGCGCACTTGGGGGCGTCCGGAGTTCGCCGTCCGACTCGTTAAGAGGCCTCGGGACCGTGGTCAGGGGGCTGAAACCCTCAACATGCCCTGAGATGGTCCCAGGGTTCCGCGCTGGAGCCCTCTTGGGGGCCTCTTCGGCCATCTTGGAAGCCCACCATGGGCTGGCCCAAGAGACCAAAACCGTTGATCGATTCATCGATTATGCGCTGCGGTATGAGGTCCGCGGTCCCATGCTTCTGTCTTGCAAGCGTCCAAGAAGGCGCCAAGAACCGAACCGTCCAGGAGGGTCCGCCCCGAGGAGGGACCCAAGACGTTGAGCTTGAAGGGGGCCTGGGAGATCTTCCCCCCAAGACGGTCCGCAAGAGCACCAGCAGCACGCAAAGAGGCCAAGGCAAGGACCCCCATGAGGCCTGACGCGGCCCCCCGAAAACTCCGACAGGCTTTCAAGACGCCCCCCGATGCCCCAAGCAGACCCAAAGCGTTCTCTGGTGGGCCCCAGGTGAGGCAGGGAGGAGGGTGGACGCGGAGGCCTCCTCGGCCTCCGCCTGCCCCTCCCACCTCCTCCTCCTCCTCTGCTCTGCTCTTCCCTCCCCATCCCCTTCCAACCAACCAGCCAAGCATTAGGTCGGGCATGACCCCCTAAAGGCGGATTCCGGATGGATTATTTTAAATCAACAAGTATTCAAACATATTCAAAGAGTACGAGCAACATCGCCCCCACACTATTACTATTGTTTGGACTACTTTTGGACATTCCTCCTGTCGAGGGACATGCCCGACTTAAGCCAAGCACCGTCCTGTGGAGCCGTGCCCGAGGAATCCCTGAGGGGCGAGGTCTCCCTCGCCTGCCCCCCGGGGCCGGGCTGCCCGGGCTGCTCCTGGTCCTCCCTGGGCCCACCAGCTCGGAGCATGGCGACGTGAGACAACGGCGCTCGCCATCGCTCGGACGTCTAGTCCTCGTGGATTTGTCGGTTTCGTGTCTTGTCTCTTGTTGTTTTCTCGGAAGATGACGCAAGATGCTCCTCACGATGGTCCTCGCCGAGAAAGGCGCACCACGTCCGAGCGATGCCAGGGGCAGCTCAAAATCGGTCCCCGATCCCGCGAAAGGGCCCACCGAGGGCCAGCAGCCGCTGTCTCGACTCCCCCTCTCCGATCCACGCACGCGTCTGCAGGGCGAGAGCCTGCAGTCCAAGCCTGCAGGCCCCTGCCTCGCTCGAGGAGCCGGGGCGAGAGCAGGAGCCGGAAACGGGGAGGGCCCTCGCCCTCCCCTCTGGCGCGAGTGAACGGGCCCCGAGGGAAACGGGTCCTAGACCCCAGACTCCTCCTCCTCCTCCTCCTCCTCCTTCTCCTCCTCCTCCTCCTCCTCCTCCTCCTCCTCCTCATTCCCATCCTCCTCTTCCTCCTCCTCCTCCTCCTCGTCGTCGTCGTCGTCGTCGTCCTCCTCCTCCTCCTCCTCCTCCTCCTCCTCCTCCTCCTCCTCCTCCTCCTCCTCCCCTCATCCTCATCATCCTCCTCGTCCTCCCCCTCGTCCTCCTCCACCTCCTTCTCCTCCTCCTGGGGCTTCTCCCTAGGACCAGCTGTTCGTCCCGGATCGCTTCCTTAGCGGTCCCAGGGCCAGGGAGAGGGGCGAAAAACTGTGAAATCCCCCCTCCGACGGGGGACCTGGCGATTCCAATCCCCGACGTTCCTTTGTCTTCGAAGGGACCACCTTCTTTGAGCCAGCGGGGGGGGGTCCCATCCTCGATACGAGTGCGTCCTGATTGCCCTCTGGGAGGTGGATCCTCATCCTCATCCTCATTCTCCTCCTCCTCCTCTTCCTCCTCCTCCTCCTCGTCGTCGTCCTCCTCCTCCTCCTCCTCCTCCTCCTCCTCCTCCCCTCATCCTCGTCATCCTCCTCGTCCTCCCCCTCGTCCTCCTCCTCCTCCTCCCTCTGGGAGGTGGATCTCCGAGTTCCCCTGGCTTCTCCTGAGCGGCCTGCTCTGTCTGGGAAGTCTCGGCGCGCGCCCGCGGCCCTGCGAGGCCCGCTTTTGCCCCCCAGGACCCCCCTACCCCTCGACGTCGCTCGGACGCACTTTAGCCCCGCGGACTGCTTGTCCTCTGTGCTTCGAGTTTTCTCCTGCTGGTCCACGATGCTCCAAGGCTGGGGACACCAACAGATACTGTAATCACCGCACCCCCCTGGACCTCTCCCTGGGTGCGTTCTGACCGGGATTTCGAGGCGAACCCAGTGGTGGCGACGAGGGCCTCTCGGGAGGCACAGAATGGGGACGAGGGAAGGGTTGCGGTATGGATACCTTTTCCTGTTTTGAGAGGCGGTGCAAACGTTCTGGCATGGGCCTCACCGAACAAGTAGCACGCGCCCGAGCGATGCCAGGCCCCCTCTACCTGGCGACGCGCACAAGGGGGTAGAGGGGGAGGGGGGACGGCTTCTCAGAAGCACCCCCCGCCTGCGTCTCAGGAGGCGCGGGCCTCACCTCTGCAGATCCAGGCCCGCGCCTCCTCAGAAGCAGGCGGGGGTTCGAAGAAGCCTTCCCCCCTCCCCCCCTGCCCCCCTCTCTTCGGGGGCGCGCAAACACGGACTAGCGATCCGTGGATCTGGCGCGCGGTCGCCAAGTCCATGGATCCGGAGAGGCGCCCTCCCCCCAAAATGCGGCCGGTTCCGCCTCGCTCGGCGGCGGAAATATCCGCGAGTCCCCATGAGAACGGGACGCGTCGCTGATCCGCGCCCCCTTGATCCATGTCTGCGATCACCACTTCCACTTCCTCCTCCCTCCTCCCTTCTCCTCCCTCCCCCTCCCTCCCCCTCCTCCTCCTCCCCCTCCTCCTCCCTCCTCCTCCTCCCTCCTCCTCCTCCTCCTCCTCCTCCTCCTCCTCCTCCTCCTCCTCCTCCTCCTCCTCCTCCTCCCCCTCCCTCTCCCTCCCTCCCTCCCTCCCTCCCCCTCCCTCCCTCCTCCCTTCTCCCTCCCCCTCCCTCCCTCCCTCTCTCCCCTCCCTCCTCCTCCTCCTCCTCCTCCTCCTCCTCCTCCTCCTCCTCCTCCTCCTCCTCCTCCTCCTCCTCCCCCTCCTCCTCTCCTCCTCCCTCCTCCTCCTCCCTCCTCCTCCTCCTCCTCCTCCTCCTCCCTCCTCCTCCTCCTCCTCCTCCTCCCTCCTCCTCCTCCCTCCTCCTCCTCCTCCTCCTCCTCCCTCCTCCTCCTCCTCCTCCTCCTCCTCCTCCTCCTCCTCCTCCCTCCTCCTCCCTCCTCCTCCTCCTCCTCCTCCTCCCCTCCTCCTCCTCCTCCTCCCTCCTCCTCCTCCTCCTCCTCCGCCCTCCTCCTCCCTCCTCCTCCCTCGTCCTCTCCTCTCCTCCCTCCCTCCCTCCTCCTCTGCGCGATGTGCTGACCTGCGGCGACGAGGAGCCCCCCCTGCCCCCCCCTCCCCCGAGGGCGGAGCGGGAGCGGCGGGGCCACGGCCACGGGGGCCGGGCGCCCCGCCCCCTCGAGAGGTGCGCGCGCGCGGGCGCCCAAAACACCGACATGCTGCCTCCCTTGGCCGAGGCGGCCGTGCCCCGACACCCCCCACGGCTGCCCTCGCGGGTCGGGCATGTGGGCCCCCTTCTCTTTGGGATGCCCGAAGTGGGTGCGGAGAGAATGGGATGGGCCAATTTTCCACCACCACTGCCACAGGTAGGGGAGGGAGGAGGAGGAGGAGGAGGAGGAGGAGGAGGAGGAGGAGGAGGGGGAGGAGGAGGAGGAGGAGGAGGAGGAGGAGGAGGACCTCTCCATCTTCCCTTCTCCTCCCCCGTCCTACGTATGGTAGTGGTGGTGGAAAATCTGCCCAGCAGAATGGGTGCAATGCCCAACAACCAATGTTGTCCCAAACCAACCGCGGCCGCTGTTGGGCAGGCGGCCTCCTGTCTCGAATGGACGCGGGCCGCGGCGGCGTGGGCAGCGAGTCCTGGTCAAAAGGAGCAGGAACTGCTGTTGGGCATTGTACCCATTCTTTCCGTACCCATTTCGGGCGTCCAGACCTCCGGGCGTTGGCAGAACTGGGTTTAATGGAACCTGGTTTAGTGATGCGTTCCGGGGGGCGCCCCCCCCGCCCCGTTCCACTCACCGGAACTGCCGTCACCCGGAAAACGCAATGTTCGGCAAACCTGGTTCAATGATTCTGGCCAATTTCGGGGCCCCCAAACCCTACCACTAACCGGGTCCCCTCACCTGGGGTCCTGGCTATGCCCGACCCCTGCAGGCGGACCGTGGATGAAAAATCAAGAATGCCCCAAACATGCTCAAGACATGCAAACATATTCGGGCAATCGTCCCCAGACTATGTCTGACTATTTTGGAACATTTCTCCTGTAGAGGGACATGCCCGACTTAAAGCTAACTGCTCTGTGCCCAGGCCCCCTCGCGTCAGGACGAAATTGCGAGGGGATGGTTTTGCCCGTTTTCGGCCTCTGGGAGCCCTTGCCGGGCGCCGGGACTGTCAACAAACAACTCAGGATGAAAAACCGGTCCTGGGGAATGGGTCGAAACCTCTGGGGATCGACATTACGACAAGATCATGGCGTCGGGGGTGTTGGTACGGGGCAATACGGCGAGGGCGCGGGATGCGGAATCATCAGAGAAAGGATACAGGGTCTGGAAGCCTGTGGAATTCCAAGCATGGATTGGCCATGGATGGCATCGCCGCCCTCGCCCTCGCCAGATATGTCAACCTCGAGGGGCTGAAGCCTCATGGGCACATTCATGAACCAACGCCCCCCCCCACCGTAATCGCTCCCCCCCCCCTGGATAGGCTGGGGTGGGTGGGCACACAAAGAAAATGCCGGACTTTAGTGTATACATCGATCCCAGGCCGAGGGTGGGCCTGCTCAGGATCGGGGCGGATGTACAGTAGGCGTTTGCGAAGAGAAGCCTTGCAATCAGCACTCTTCGGGGGCCCTCTGTGCCCCAGAGCTTCTGTGGGTGCGTGGGGCAACAGGGGAGGGCAAGCGATTTCGGTGGGGCACCCGCGGGCAGGCCGATGCCCTACTTGACTTGCCCAAAGCACTGTTCAGCAAGGGAGCGACGATCGAGAACGAGTCTTACGCAGGGTGGCACGGCGATCTTACGCGGTGGCTCACGCGGACCGCCGGCGCGGCACATGCGGGCACTAGAGAGACGCGGTTTGCGCGGGCACTGGAGACGAGGGCGCTTGTGCGCGAGCTTGCGCGGGCAGCTTGCGCGCCAACGTCGGCGCAGACAACCCTTGCTCTTCCCGTCGCTCATTTGGCGCCCGCCCGCTGCCGCGCCGGCCCGCGCCCAGCCGGCCCCGGTGCCTGCGCCCTCGGCTGCGTGCCGCGGCGGGGAGCTGACGTCGCCGGCGAGGGCCGTCGCGTCGTGATCGCTGCGCGGGGGGAGCGGGAGGGGCGCGGGAGCGTAGGGGGGGAGGAGGGCGTAGGGGAGGAGGGTATCGGAGGCTGGGGGGAGGAGGAGGAGGAGGAGGAGGAGGAGGAGGAGGAGGAGGAGGAGGAGGAGGAGGAGGAGGAGGAGGAGGACCAGGAGGAGGAGGAGGAGCGCCCGTCGAGATCTCAGAGGGTAAGCGGGCCCCTTGAAGAGTTCCACAATCAAGTGATCTGCCTGTGGGGAGAACAGGTGGCGACATCCGAAATCATATTGAATGGGTAGGGTTCGGATTTCACCACGCGTTCAACGAACTCGCGTTCAACGAACTCTGAACCCGACCCCCGCCGCGCATCGAGTTGCCTGAATCATTGATCGGCGAGGTGAGGGTTCGGATTTCGCCGCGGAGTAAAGGATCAGGACGACGAGGCTCAGGAGGAGGAGGAGGAGGAGGAGGAGGAAGGGGGGAGGAGGAGAGGGGGAGGGGGGAAGGTGGAGGTGGGGAGGGGGAGGGGTGAGAAGGAGGGAGGGAGAGGGAGAAGGAGAGCTTCAGGACCAACTTCATGACGGACGGATTTTCGTCATTTTCGGTCGTCGTTCTCGCTGCGGGCATGCGGGTCCAACCCATATGTGGCGCACTACTCACGCCCCGTAGCTTGAACTACGGCCCCAATGGAGCGTCGCGCATTCGATCCCCGCCTCAATCCGGCATACCCCTCACTCGGAACGTCTTCCAATTGGCGCACGACCTTGGCTCAAATGGAACTGTGCTATGCGGTCACCGCCTCAACTCTGCACACCATCGTCTCATGACTGCGCAGGAGGCTCCGACTATGTCCTCAGGAATTGCTCGCGTGCGCCCATGCGCGCTCCCCGCCAAAATGTGGCACGCTTCTCACGCGGACCCTGCCCGACGTGCCACCCGCGCACCCCAACGCCCCCCTCGCCGAAATTGCGAAATTTCTCAAACCACCTTATTCTGCATACAAGGCATATCGGGAAACGCCTCCGTGCCGCCATGCCCAAACATATTTCCAACCAAGGCCAGGGTGAAGTTGCGCACATGCGGTCCCAGCCTCAATTTCGGATCACACCTCTCCAACGGATCGCACCTCACCAGGAGGCCCAACTACGGCCCCAATAAGGCAAAGCCCGAATGGCTGGCTGGTGTGCCCCTGAGGTGAGGATATATTGCTGGCACTTGTTGGACCGCTGGGAGTGAGGATAGTCTGCTGGCCGTTTTAGACCAGTGAGGCTGGCAATTTTAGGCTGCTGGGTGAGGAAAATCTGCTGCAATTTTTTGGGCCGCTGAGGATGAGAATGTGGTGCTTGCTGTTTCGGGCCAAGGGTGCGGACATATTGCTGACCGCATTGGGGCATGGGGCTTGGCATGGCTTGCTGGCAAGTTTGGGCAGCTGGTGTGATTACTTTCTACTTTCAGGTATACGCCGCGGGGGGGGCGGGCAAGGGGCGGTGAAACAATGTTCCTGGCCCTTTCGGGCCGTTGGGGTGAGGGGTCTCTAGGAGTCAGGACATGCTGTTGCTTGCAATCCTGGGCCAGGGGTGGTGATACTTTAACGGTCGATTAAAATCATTCGGGTGAGGATGCGTTGTTGGCATTTCTTGGCAGCAGGGGTTGAAGATACGTAGCTGGCAATGTTAGTCCAGGATGTGAAGATATGTGGCTGGGCGTTTTGCCCCGCCCCCTAGTTTAATAGATGTGCTGACGGACTGGGGGTAAGAACATGTTGCTGGCAGTTTTGAAAGATGGGGTGAGGATCTTGTGCTGGCAGTTTCGGACTGCTTGGGAGAAGTTAATGTTGCTGGTTTGCTGGCACATTCAGGGTACATAGATGGCTGCCTTAGACCGCCTTGGCTGAGGACATGTTGAGCGCACGCGTTGCTGCTAGGGCTGATGATATGTTTCTTGTATGTTTAAGTCAGGGGGTGAATGCATGTTGCTGATCGTCTTAGTTCAGGAATGAGCTGGCGAATGTAGGCAGGGTGTAATCATACGTCCCTGGCAAGTGTGTGCAGCTGGAGGGTCAACACAATGCTGGAAGGCCAGATGCCAGAACATTCAGTTTGCAATGTTATGGCGCTGGGGGGAGGGTATGTTGCTGCACATCCAGAACGCCGGAGCTGGTGGCAGTTTTACGCCGAGGGGGCCACGGGCTGAGGATGTGTCGATTGCAATTCTAGACCTCTCGGGGTGATGAGCTGCTGCTGGTGTTTCTATGCCAGGAGGTAAGGACCGTCTGCTGGTCCCTGTAGGCCAGGAGTGAGGGCCTCCCGCTGGCAAGTCTCGGCCGCTGCGGGTGGGGATATCTTCTGCTGGCAGATTTTAGGCCGCCAGGCGCGAGGATGCTTTGCTGGCAGCTTTTAGGCCGCGGGGCGGGCGATACTTCGCTGCAGGTCCAGGGCGCTGTGGGTGATGTGTTCGGGGTGACTTCAGACATAGTTTCAGGCCACTGTGACTGAGGATCTGTCTCTGACACGTGTCTCCCAAGGGGCGGGCTGCTGATGTGTTCGGAACACGGGGTGAGGGTACATACGATGGTGGGTGGCATACCACATGTCCTGTGATTCGTGGGAGGGCTGCGCCTGCTCCCTGAGGCAAAGCGAGCAATACCATGTAACACGCTAGGAACGGTGGCGTCTGAAGAACGCCCCTGAACGCCGGGGGTCCAGGGACGAACTGTCCAACGATTCCTCCCACTTGCGGTGGACTCAAGCACCAAGTCTTGTCTGCTTGACTTGGGAGCACTCCTCCGGAAGTTCAGCAAACAAGGACCAAGCGAACCCGCAACGCCTGAAACCAAGCCCTGCGATCTTTGAGAACTTGCGAAGTACACTGGCGAAGTCCCCACGGGAAACTAAACAGAAACCGCACACATTAACCACATACACAGGAAATGGTCTCGCTTTCCGTCCCACGATGTGACAGCGATGTCCAAGGCAACTCAGGCAGCTAATGCAAACGGCAGTGCTTGAGGTTGCGAACAGACTGCCCTGGACTGCCCTTGAAGGCTGATGAAGCCAGCCCAGGCTAGCTCCGAGGGTTGTCCTGCGCAAACTCAGCGCGCACACGGGGGCTGGCGCGAAGAATACGGGCTTCAGAAAAAAGCAGGATCGGGGATCGGGCCTATTGAAAAGGCAGTACGGTCTTCAGGACGGCCTTCGGGCCAACCCCCACTGCGCGCGGCCGACTGAAAAGAGCGCGAGGCTAGAATGTCAGAATGCTGGAATTTCCAACACCTCAGGAACCGACGTCGCAGGACACCAAAAGGCAAAGGTCCTGGGTTTCTCATGGTTGGCTGCCACGACCCCCTCCCTCCCATCCCACTCCAAAGGCCTGTAACGAACAAAATCCACTGCCCTCTGGGGTCCTGGGGCATCGGTTCCCGAGGGGGTGCATCCTTGGCCGATTCCGGAAACCTGGAACCCAAACACATGGATGTCTCACACTTACTCCGGCGGCGATCCCAGAGGGATGTCAGAGGGGGCGGGCCTTTTCAGAAGGCTCGGAAGGCCTCGGGCCTTCTGAACAGTTGTTCGATCCTTCCCCGAAGACAATCAGAACCTCTCAGACGGCCAGCGGGCTTCTGCGAATGAAGGGGAACTGGGACACACAAATAAATAGACACAAATAACCATATTCCCTATATTTTCCAATATTTTCTGGGTTTCTGTCTTCCCCCCTCCTTCCCATGTTTCCCCACATTTTCTGGGGAATCGACGATTAATTGTGTCTGTGTGTTTTTTCCCCTCCTGAGAGAAGCCCCGCCGCCTTCTCAGACGGCCAGCCCCCTCTCACTTCCCCCCTGTGCTCGCCGCCGATGACTTCCGCCGGCGGAGGCGCTGCCGTCTCAGTTCCGCCGCCGTCCGCGAGCCCTCCGCCGAGGGCGAAGATGCGACGAAGGCGCGGCCCTTTTTATTAGGAAACAACTGCTGGGAGGCCTTCGTCGGAAATATTCACGATGACTAAGCCCCATTGCGGGGTTGTTACGCCAGAAAGGGCTTCGGATTGAGCGGGATTAGACCGGATTAAATGGGACTCAGCGGGATTAGGCGGGATTAAGCCCGAGTAAGCGGGACTTCGGACCAGGGCAAAATCAGAATTTAACCTCCCAGGAGTAGCATCCGAATTTTTTAACTCCAGCCTCTTTCTTTTTTGTCCAGCAGCGCCAACTGTCGCGGGCGCGGAGGCCGCTTCCGGCGCCTCCGGCCTCTCACAAGCAAGGGGTGTCACCAAGACAGAAGGGGGATCACCACAATAGAATGGGGATCATCACTATACGTATGTGGCTCCCATCGTACTTAATGACCACATCCCAGAAATCCGCCGGCCCCCTTGTGGGGCCACCAGGCTGTAGGGCTAAGCTTCGCAGTTTCCTGTGCCAGTTGCAGCTTCCAGTTTCCACTGTTACAGTTCTGTTTCTTGCTGCTTACTGTTCCTTGTGGACTTCTTGCTGATGACTGTCCCTTGTTAATGGACCGCGCGAGGGGGGAGGCCCAAAACGGGCATTTTCACCACACCCAAAACGTATGCTCTGAATTGCTGGGGTGGGTAAAAATTCACACCCCTCACGCAGATCGGCGGGGTCAGAATCCAAACACACAAAGGATTTGCCACATTTCTGAAATTCGGCGGCACCCCTCACGCAGATCGGTAGGGTCAGGGTCGAAAAACACATGAGATTTGCCACATGTCTAAAATCCAGTGGCATCCCTCACGCAGATCGGCGGGGTCAGGGTCCAAAAACATATGGGATTTGCCTCATTTCTAAATCCAGTGACACCCCTCACGCAGATCGGCGGGGTCAGGGTCCAAAAACATAAGGGATTCGCCACATTTTTAAAATCCGGCGGCACCCTCACGCAGATCGGCGGGGTCAGGGTCCAAAAACATATGGGATTTGCCACATTTCTGAAATCCGGTCGCACCCCTCACGCAGATCGGCGGGGTCAGGGTCCGAAAACGAAAGGGATTTGCCACATTTC